GAAGGAAGGAAGGAAGGAAGGAAGGAAGGAAGGAAGGAAGGAAGGAAGGAAGGAAGGAAAAGAACGAACAAACAAACAGGGAAAGACAGCATGACCTCTTGGCTCCTGTTCTGCTTTCTGGTCCCCTAAAATGACTTGATATTCATGAACCCAGTACTGTCCATCTCTCTAAGCCATTACTGTGACTAAGATAGAAATTCTAGAGTGAGAAGCAATGATTTGCAAAGGAAGCAGACACAGATAGAGTGAGGCTCTTAACATTCCATGAATGCTAAGCTACAGAAGTCCAAAGATAAACTTTTTGCATTGCAGAGAAAAGGACAAAACAGAATACTTAGGAAATAATGAGTCTTCTAAATCAATATGCATCCCATGCACTTAAAATGAAATATACTCTTTACAGAATGCAGCATCATCACAGTATGCCAAAGGATGAAATATTCTATCAATAATTCTTCACGGTGACAGGTTACATACTTGATTTCTCCTTGGCTGCATTTAGTACTCTTGGCACATTCTCTCTGACAAACGAGTGAGCCTTCATTACCAAACGAATCTGCCAAAAAAGAGGGAAAGTGAATTTCCTATCTCTGTCTTGTCTCCTATTGGTAACTCCAGAACTGCACTGAGTAATATTCACATAAAAGAACTTCAATTTGCATTAACTAACTCAAGTTAGCCTTTATAAAAGGGGGAAAGTTTCCAAAGAAGGACATGTGATTACTCAAATTATCTTGCACCTAACAGAAGTATTATAGGTTTATTAAAAAAAAAAGTTGAGAAGTTAAAAATCTGTTGAAGGGGGCTGAGAATGGTGCACAGACCTTTAACCCCAGCACTTGGGAGGCAGAGGCAGGAGGATCTCTGTGAGATCCAAGACAGCCTGGTTCACATAGTGAGTTCCAGGACAGCCAGGGTTATGTCGAGAGACCCTGTCTCAAAAAACAAAACAAAACAAACAAAAAGTTCAATATAAATATTTCAGATCCAGATAACTGAATTTTTTAATATAAAATAATAAAAATGAATAATTAAAAATTAAAAATGAATTTTTAAAAATATTGCCCAGTTAAACACTTCAAATCTAAAGCTAGTCATAACAGCACATGCCTGCAGGCCCAGGATTTGGGAACAGGTGACAGAAAAATTAGGACTTGTACAGATGTGGTGTTGAGCTACATATAAACATAGATCCAGCACTATCGCCAGTTAATAACAGCAGCAGCGCTAAATCATCACCGTCACTACTTAACGAGGCCTAGCCTCACCCCCTTAGCACAGCACTCACATCCTTACCTGTTCCAGTATAACAATGAACCTGGAGGCCGGCGGCAGCGTGTACACTAACACAGTGTACGTTGGTATGAAGCCTAAAATTCCAAGCTGAAAGACTAAGAAGAAAAAGCCGTGGATGAGGGAATGTATCAGTGGGTAAGAACTCTTGCTGTAGCCATGGGCCCAACGCTGGAACAGGAAATAGGGGATTGAGAGTGTAGACAGGAACATGGCCCACCATGTCCAGATAACAGTAGGAAGTTTGCCAAAAGCATAGGCCAGCAGATTGAACTCAAGCACCAGCCTGTGAAGGAGAAAAGAAGTGAACCTTTAATATGCAATGAGTTTACAGAACTTAACATTCTCTCTCTCTCTCTCTCTCTCTCTCTCTCTCAGGCTTTCAAAATACGGCAACATTAACACATCAAGTTCATGGGTGTCAAGCATAGCACTGTTCAACAGCTAGGTTACTAAACCAAGCCAAATGTCCACAAATGGAGGATGCGTAAGAAGAACATGGTTTATATACACAATGGAATTTTTTCCAGTCTAAAGAATGAAGCTGTATCAATTACTGGAAAACTGTTACAACTGGAGATAATCATACTAAGGGAATTGAGGCATCTTTAGAGAAAGAAATATTTCATGTTTTCTATCACTTGTGGGTCCTAGATTTTATTAGCTTTATTATAATTTTTAAGTAAATAAGAACAATCAAGTTTTCACACATCGACTAGCCACCTGGCCCCTTGTCTTACCTTCCTTCATCAATATAGTCTACTACGAGTGTGCTGAGGATAAAGAGGATGAGGAGCGCGATGAACATGTGATAGATTGTTCTGATGTGGTCCACTTCAAACAGCTCGCTGTAAATGCACGGCAAGTAAATCGTAAGTTAATAATCTGTATTTCATTTCAAGCATCACACAACAAAGACACTTTATAAAGCAGTTTGTAAGATGTTTAATCTTTGAGAAATCTCCTTTAAAATTTCCAAAACTGGGCAGTGATGCTGCACACCTTTAGTCCCAGCACCCGGGAGGCAGAGACTGGTGGATCTCTGGGTTCAAAAACAGCCTTGAACTGGTCTACAGAGTGAGTTCCAGAACAGCCAGGGCTATAGAAACCCTGTGAGACAGAAACCCTGTCTCAAAACACTAAAACCAACCAGATAAACAAAACATAAAAACTCAAAACCAGAACAATATTAAACCTTCAGTATACAGAAATTAAATATAAAAAATAATAGATTCTTAAACTTTCTTTCCAAATAAGATAGCGGCTGACCGGAAACAGCATGGCTCTCTGAGAGGAGCACTCTGCATCCAGAAAACCCTGTTCACTGTTCACTGTGTGCGCAAAGGCCGGTCACTGAAGAAGCACTATGGACCCTACTTCAGAACCCCCAGAAGGCCTGGTTTTACTAACTCATTTAAGTGCTTGCTCATGACAGTAAGCAGCTGCCACCCACCCACGATAAGCTTTGCCATTCCCAAAGGACGTCTTCTTCCTCCACTGACCGATGGTACGTCAGGCCCAGCTGCTCTCGTTTGAACAGACATGACCTTCTGGGTGACTCATCCTCAGTGAGCGCCTCTGAATCCAACTGAAACAAGGGTTTTAGCCTTGGCCTTGGGAAGTGTGCACAGCTTCTAGGTAACTCTGAAGGATCTAAAACATTCTGAAGCCTCTGTTTAAAGAATCTTCAAAACCTAGTAAAAATCTAGCTAAGCCACTTCTTTGGTCACCTTTTTTTAAGTTCAAGTATATTTTAACTGATATTTTTTTTCTTCTCTCCTCCCTTGCTTTCTCCTGCTCTCCTTCCCTTTCTCCCTTCCCATTAATGAGGACTAACTCTGGGCTTCAGGCAAGTCTAGATAAACATTCTACCACTGAGCTCCCTTCATTTTCTTAAGTTTTCAATAATGCAATTCTTATGTTAAAGTGTTTTAAATAACGATTCTTCCTTTTTAGTTGCCTGCGTTTTTCTCCAGAAGTAAATTTTAAACTATTTTATGTGTTTATCACAATCCAGTCTCAACATAAACAGAATTTAGAAGACTCTTGCCCTCTTGTCAAGGATAGGCAGTACATACCAGTTTACCTTATATAACTTATTTTGTTTAATAAACAAAACTCATTTTTAAACAAAGGTACATTATAGCACCTGATGCAATTTTCACCAACCCAAACTTCTGTCCTAATGCAGGTAAATTCCATCAATATCCCAGTGGACACAACTGCAAAGAAGAAACCGCCATCTTCCAACCAAAGTGCACCTTTTGTTTTGGTTTATAAATTATCACAATCCAGTCATAACATGCAATAGTAAAAAGATTGGACCAGTGGTTCTCAATCTGTGGGTCACAAACCCTTTAAGAGGCCAAACCACCCTTTCACAGGGGTTGCCTAAGACCATTGGAAAACACAGATATTTTCATTACAGTTCAGAACAGTAGCATAATTACAGTTATAAAATAGCAATGAAAATAATTTTATGGTTGGGGGTCACCACAACATGAGGAATTGTATTAGAGGGTCATAGTATTAGGAAGATTGAGAAACACTGGGTTAGACAATCAGGGTTTGTTTTTTTTTTTTTTTTTAAACGAGCTTTGAGAAAACTATCAAAAATCTCACTCAAGAAAATGAGGTGAGAAAACTCATACATATTAAGAAAGCAGCAATTCCAAAACTCCTCCCAAGTGGACAACTTCTGCTCTAGCCCTCTGGATAAACAATTCCCTGTAGTAAAACTTCAAAGAATTTGTCAAAGGACAGATAGCTGTTTTTATGTTTACCTTTCCTAGAGAAGCCAGATAGAAAACCAGAAAACACGCAAGAAGCAACAGAAAAACATCACCAAAGTTCATGAATGATATGGACTTCAGACAGACAGACACACAGATAGATAGATGAATGGATAGATAGATAGATAGATAGATAGATAGATAGATAGATAGATAGATAGATAAGTAGGTAGTAGATAGATAAATGGATGGATGGATGAGTGGATGGGTAGACAGGCAGATAGATAGATAGATAGATAATAGATAGATAGATAGATAGATAGATAGATAGATAGATAGATAGATAGATATAGGCAGACAGAGAGACAAATAGACAGACAGATTCTATAAATCAGGACAGTTTTTTCTTTCCTATATCAAACTGATAATTAACAAAAGCAATTTATCACTCACTCTAAAAGAGACCGCCTTGTAATAAAAATCTTCCCTTGTTCTGGAGGTGCTCTGAGATCTCTGGAAAAGAAAAAAATTACAACAAAACGTAGGTAGAGAGACTATAAAAAGACGCTTAATCCCCTGAGCAAGAGGGTGCTTTGCTTACCAGCAACTGCACTGGCTCACTAACATTCCCTGACCCCCTCCGTTCAAGTCTAGAGCTGAGCACTGCACATATAACTTGGCATGTTATCTCAGCACTCGTGACGGTGATCTGAGGTGGGTGCATGCGGACTTCCTTAGGCAGGAGATGGGTCAGACATCCAGCTGAAGCACCAGGCCTCCCGCCCTCGGAGCCCCTGCAGCAGTGCGCAGCCCCACCACACTGTGCACTGTGACTGATGTGTCCACACTGCCCCGACGTCTGTTTACTTTTTACATGGTTTGGGGAGAGTGACACATGCATGTGTGGAGGCAGAGGACAACTTGCAGGAGTCAGTTCTCTCCTCCTCCCAGGTTAAACCAAGGGCTGCACTCGGGCATGGCAGAAGCACCTTCCGCCCTGATGTTTACAGAACTCTTCCCAACATTAACATTCCTTGCATCAACTTCCAACAACCTGCTGATCGTATCAGCTGCTTTTGGGTCATAAAAACATACATTTTAGCGCCCTGCAAACCATCTTACTTTGGGCACTGCTGTTGGCTATTGCTTCTCAAAACCCTTCTCTAGGAGGGACTGGCAAAGTGCCTGGAATGGCAAATTAGCACATGTCAGCCACTGATACCTTCCCTTCTTATTCTGGGTGACCGAACAAACGGGAAAACACATAGAACCATAGGGCATTGAATACAGTACAGCAGGCATGGAATGATGCAGTTGAAAGCAAGGATTCTGGAGCCAGGCTCTGGGTTCAATCCCTGATGTAGGATCTCACAAATAGTTGCACTAATCTGTACCACGAAAATAACTGTACTGTAAACCTCACCATGAGGAGCGCAGCTTACGGAGGTTATGTACACACATTATAATTCAATACTAGGCCATTAGATGTCTTAGCAGGTGTAGAGATTTGTCACCAAATCTGATAACCTTAGTTCATCTAGGACCCACACGGTGGAAGGAGAGAACTGACAATCAAAAACTGGCCTTTGACCTCTACATGTATACTATGTATTTCATGTTCCCCACATACATACAAAATAAATGACTGTTAAAAATATTTAAGGCTATTTAATAAATAAAATGAACAGAACCCCATATTAAGAGGAAAAAATCTTTAATCCGAATACTTGGGCAACAGAAGCAGGCAGATCTCTCTGAGTCTGAGGCCAGCCTCCTCCATATAGGAAATCCCAGGCTAGCCAAGGAAACAGAGTGAGAATCTGACTTAAAATATAAAGTAAAAGGGGCGATACAGTGTGACCGGGGCATTTCACTACTCTCCATATTCTGACCACTCTCCATATCCTGGAGTGGATGTCATGAGAGGCAACAGCTCACATACTCACTTGGCTCTGTGGTTGCTTTTCATTTCTTCAAGAATGGAGAAGGTTGTGAGAGCACACCCACCACTATCCAGAGATGCAGACTTTTCAATGAGGTTGGTCACAAAGTCATCAAAGTGACAACCAACTTCCTTCAGAAACAGTGGCTTCAGTTCCTCAAGTTTTAAAACAAACAAAGGAAAACATCAGCACAAGCTTGTGTGTTGGTATGTTCTTTTGGAATGTATACAATTTACCCTTGTTCACTCAAATGCTGATTTCTCTACCCCACTCTCTGGTTTCAATCTGGACATTGCATCACCTGTCTCAATTTTGCGTAAACATGCCACCATTTGTTCTCTATACTGTCAATTAAACAACCAGTCCCAATGCTGAGCAATGGAGAGAATAGGGTGGGACATCCTGGTCGGGAGGGGAGAGACAGGAAAAGAAGGGAGGGGCAGACAAGCCGGAGGAGAGGTCTTGGAACCACGTGGAGAGATGAACCGGACCTAAGATATGACTAAAAGCAAGTATAATGGGTGAAACCTGAATGGTAGGAAACTATGAGGGCTTGGAGGTTTAGGATGGAGTAACTATTGGCCAGCATTGTGCTCTAGGTTAATTAAATAAATCCTAGTCTCTGTGTGGTGATTTAGGTATACAGCTGGTTTAGGAATAATAACCGCTGATTACCTAAAAGATAAGTCAATAGTAAATATTAATAATCACAACATTTGTGGGTCATTACTGTTTCTTTAAAGGGATTCCTTTATATTTCAATAGAAAGCCACACCAAACAAGTGAGTTCATGGAGTAAAAGCAGAAGAAATAATCTCTATGGTTGACTTGTAGTTTCAGACATGGTGACCGAAAACAAAGAAATACCGTACACCTCATTAAAAATGTATGCCCTCCACCTTTTTTCTTTCCCCCTCCCCCAACAAGATCTCAGGTAGCCCAGGTTGGCCTAAAGTTGCTGTCCTTGACCTTCCAGCCTTCATGTCCAAAGTGCTGGAGTCAGCCACAAGGCACCATGCCTGACGACATACCTAAGTCTCTAAGTCTCCTGGAAGGATGCTAAAGGAAACCATCTAGGAAATTAACAAAGGACACTAACATCAAAGGTACACGATGGTAGAAATGAGGTGGAGGCAAAGCAAGTATGACATCACCCTGGACTGACACACACACACACACACACCCCACAGAAAATAAAAAGGAGACAATTCTTTTTTTTTTTAATTTATTTTTATTTTTATTAATTACAGTTTATTCACTTTGTATCCCTCCTGTAGCTCCCTCCCTCTTCCCCTCCCGATCCCACTCTCCCTTCCTTACCTGGGCCCCTCCCCTAGTCTACTGATAAGGAAAGTCCTCCTCCCCTTCCCTCTGATCCTAGTCTATCAGGTCTCATCAGGACTGGCTGCACTGCCTTCCTCTGTGGCCTGGTAAGGCTGTTCCACCCTCAGGAGGAGGTGATCAAAGAGAAGGCCAATCAGTTCATGTCAGAGACAGTCCCTGTCCCCATTACTGTGGAACCCACTTGGACACTGAGCTGCCATAGGCTACCTCTGTGCAGGGGTTCCAGGCCATCTCCATGAGTGGTCTTTGGCTGGAGTATCAGTTTCAGAAAAGACCCCGGTGCCCAGAATTTTTGGATCTGTTGCTGTCCTTGTGGAGCTCCTGTCCTCTCTAGGTCTTACTATCTCCCACTTCTTTCATAAGATTCCCTGTACTCTGGCCAAAGTTTGGCTGAGTCTCAACATCTGCCTCAATACCCTGAAGGGTAGAGCCTTTCAGAGGCCCTCTGTGGTAGGCTCCTGTCCTGTTCCTTGTTTTCTCCCTCCTCTGATGTCCATCCTCTTTGCCTTTCTGAATGGGGAATGAGCATCTTACCCATCTTACTCTTCTTGATTAGCTCCCTTATGTGTACAGATTTTATCCTATATTATATATCTAGTATCCACTTATAAGTGAGTATATACCATGTGTGTCTTTCTGCTTCTGGGATACCTCACTCAGGATGATCTTTTCCAGTTGCCACCATTTGCCTGCAAATTTCATGATTTCCTTGTTTTTTATTGCTGAATAGTATTCAATTGTGTAGATGTACCACAATTTCTGTATCCATTTTTCAATTGGGGGGCATCTGGGTTGTTTCTAGCTTCTGGCTATTACAAATAAATCTGCTACAAACATGGCTGAGCAAATGTCCTCATATACTTGAGCCAATTTTTATAATATTTTTATTAAGAAAACAAAAAAAAAAAGCAACGCATTATATCTATATTATGTAATTACCCCAATTTTTCCCCCTAAAAATATCCCTTTGCTCTCAAGTTCCCACAATTGATATTCTAAACAACTTTTTAAAAAGATTCACCTTTAGCTAGGGGCAGTGGTGCACACCTGTAATCTCAGCACTCAGGGAGACAGAGGCAGGTGGATCTCTCTGAGTTTGAGAGCAGCCTGGTCTACAAAGTGAGTCCAAGACAGCCGAGGCTACACAGAGAAACCCTGTCTAAAAACACTAAAAACAAAACTATTCATCGTATCTGCCTTGCCTGTGTGTATATGTGCACCCTGTGCACCCTGTGTTTGTGGCGGTCAAAAGAGGGCATCAGATCCTCTGGAACTCGGTGATGCTGGTTGTGAACTACTATGTGGGTGCTGGGAACCAAATCACGGCCTCTGCCAGAGTAACAAGTGCTCTTAATTACCGAGCCTTCTTTCCAGCCCCCACAGTTTACATTTTAAAGCATGCTATTCTGTATCACAGCTGTTTATATGATATTTATTCCTACCTCCATAACTATGTACTTGGCGAATCACAAAATACGAATATATGTGTACAGTTATACATCTAAATATTTGCACATAATTATAAAACTTGTAAGAGTGTGTGTACTTTTATATGTAAATGCATCTTATGAAAATACATATGGAGAACCATGTGAAGTGGTGCATACATGTAATCCAAACACTCAGGAGACAGAAGCAGGATGATTCCGTCTCAAAAAAAAAAAAAAAAAAAAAAAACCATACAAATAAAAAGTATAGACAACAGTTACTGTTTGGGGCCGCCAGCTGTTAACATTTTAAGACAAATACTTCCCAGCCTTTGAATATGTTTATATATTCTATACAATGAGTTTGAGGCCAGCCTAAGCTAAACAGTGAGCTCTAAAATAACCTGGGCTGTTCTAAGTGAGACCCTGCCTTAAAAGATAGACAGACAGACAGACAGACAGACAGATAGATAGATAGATAGATAGATATAAGTAAATAAAACAAAAAAATTAAGCCTAAAAATGTCTATGTACGTAATTGTATGAAGGGCAAAGAGAATGTGCTAAAATGTTCTCACAGAGGATATGGCTGGAAATATAAGACCTGCTTGTATCTCCCAAGTGTTGGGATTAAAGTTATGCACCACCACACAAGGCCCGAAAATGAAACTTTTTAAAAAGTAAAGTGCTTTATCTGAGGAAGGAGAAAACCAAAAGAGAAGGGGCAGGATCCTTTGCTCAGCCAGGGCTAGGACAAATTCTGGGCAGTCTGAGGCACTAGAGAGGCAGTAAATAATGCACAAACTAGGACCCGTCCTTGTGGTGTTGACAGTGTGGCAATGGCCTTGGTAAGTTCTACAAATATCAGGAATGGAGTCCTTCATGGTTGGAACAGAAAGTGCTAAGAGCTGAAGTAAGGAACGGGGGAAGGGGCAAGGCACACACAAGGCCTCGGCATTCCCTGTGCTTGGAGTCAAGCGTCCACGTTTACCAGCATTGAAGAGAGGCCCAGCTCTTGAGGCACGGTGAAGACGCCAGCACTCCTCACACCCCGGCACCAGTGTGACACACCCAAGTATCAAGTTAAGGCAGTAAAAGCACGGCAGCTTGGGAAAGAACGTTATACAAATGTCAGGTCTTCATTCATTCAATGTCAACTAAATAATTGCCTTCTTAGTTAGAGGGTTGGGGAGGCAGTCACCGAGGCGGCTCAGCAGGTAAAAGCACTCAGAGTTCAAGCTTGACAACCCAAGTCTGATGCTCCGGAAGCCTGGGTAGAAAAAGAGCACTGACTCCTCTGACCTCCAGATGTGCACCATGGCACACACCAGTGTCACACATACACAATGCACATACATCACACACACACACACGTACATATATGTAATCATTTTAATTGATGAGTCTTTTTTTTCTTTCTTTGTTTAAGACAGTCATGCTATGTAGCCCAGGATAGCCCCAAACTCAAGGCAATCCTCCTGCACTAGCCTCCTGAATATGGATTACAGGCATGTGCCATCACGCCTGGCTATGACACAGCTCTTACTTCTTATCCACTGCTTGCTGACAGATGAACATAGAACCTTTGCATTTGTGTAACAATGAGGATCAACAGCGTGACACAGAAAGGACAGCCCTGAGCAACAAGATAGCAGGACACTATGAGACAGCACTTACAGGCAGTACTGGTGACAGCCAGAGTAAAGTAGAAGGCTTCCAGTTTTCTCTGACATGGCAAAGGGCACACAAAGCATTTCATCGGGATCAACTCCTGCCTTTTATTCTCCCTGAGCTCAAGTTTGGATTTCAGGAATCCAAATAATCACTTAAATGAAACACTTCTTATATACAGCTTTATAATTAGTGCCTAATGTTCCTGTCTTAATGTCTTTCTTTCTCTGAGGAATTAAAGACAACAGAAGCTGCTGCGACTGGGACCCAGAAAAAAACGCCTTTGTGGGGACTATAGCGACCGCTTATATGATCACCCCCTCTGGGAGACGGAACAGAAAGATACAGCTAATAAAGGGGTCCTCTGCCTTCCAAGATCCCCAAGCACATGAAATTGTTGCTCTTTAGAATCCAAAATGTGAGCACAGTAAGTCCGGATAAAAGCTGAGTCACCTGAAGTGCCACGGTGCAGTCTCTCAAACCTGTATCTGTTCATATTAATTTCACTCAGCCAATGGACCCCAATGGATGGACAGATGTAGAGGGGGAAGAAAGACGCTGACTTGAAAAGGAAAAGTGTTTAGATGATCTAGCAATCATCCCAGCATCTGGAAGACTAAGGCAGGAGGACTGCTGGCCATTCTGTGTAGAGAGAATATTTTGTGTCTGAACGGAAGCATCAACTGTCAATAGAAAGGTAAAGGTCTATAGCT